GCGACATATTATTTTCAATCTTTTTTCACAAGGTTTATTAAATATTAATTAATATTGGCATATGGGTAGGCATAGGTTAATAATTGCAAGTAATTTTTTAAAATAGTTATTTTTGCTCTTTTAGAAAATGCACATAATAAAAATATGAATAGTCTTTATTAAGATGTTAGTTAATTCAAACAAATCCTGTCAAATGAAGTCAAACAACATTCTTGGATACCAGAAATCTATGTTTGCAAAAGACATCCAACCTCACAAACAATATTTCTAACTGCTGGTATAGTCTTTCCGAAATCAGTTGAACATTGAAAAACGCCTAGCAATAAAATTTAATGAGTTTCATAGGCGTCCCTAAAAAAGTTTTCTGATAAAGGTACAAAATTATAATAATTTGTATATAATGTCTAGAAAATTTCTATTATGTGTTCATTTCACCAACAACATATTTTAATTATTTATGTCCTCAAACAATTTTATTATATTGATGGTAAACTGTGGTTATAACATATCAAAAAACATTTACATTTTCATTAAAATATATCACTGCTCGGTATTGCTGCACTGCACTGCTACGAAATTTGTCAACAACTGAAATTTAAGGCCGGTCGGCCAGTGCGGCTGTGTTTGTGCGCCGTTTGCCCGCGCGCGCATTCTTCAACTGGCCGTATACATTTCTACCACCACCATGTTTAGTTCGACCAGACCTGTATTTTGGCCTTCAATTGAGATCGGAAAGACTATACTGCGGGAAATAATTACTCTATGGGATACATGCCCCATTGGATTACACCACACTAATTAAATAGTATAAAATAATTATCCAAAATAAAATCAAATATTTAAATAATTCATAGAAAAACACATGCCTGATATGATTGCAATCTCAAATAATGCAATCATTCAGAGAAACATCCTATATTCTTGCTCTCATCTTTGACAAACTTTGGCACATAAAAAACAGCTGCTTTTTGTTTCCACATTTTATCTGGGATTGTTTCATCAGGCAGCGTTTCAAACATTAACATAAAAAATTATGCATAAAACAAAATTAATATGACATTTTTAATAAACGACATTTGCCAAAAGATTATTATTTTTATTATGATTATACGGATTGTAATTGGTATATGTCCTTTTTGCTTCTTTGAGAACAACATATACCGGGTGATTCAGTTTGATATTCGCGGCCTCGTATCTCTTTTATTTTAACAAATAGCTATAACAAACCCTATATATTTTTAAATCACCGCTCAAACTCTATCAAATGGCATTATTAGATCGTCTCCATGGTAACATGTCAAAATTGCTACAATCAACTGTCTTTGTTCAAATGGCATATTATATGTATATTTTTTTATCAATTCTGGAAGATATTTTTTTTCTCGTTCACCTATATAAGGAAGTCTATAGGTTCATTAGAAATATTGCTAGAAGAACAGCAAAAAAAAGAACCTTACTTTCAGTAGCTTTATTCTGAAAAATGATAGCCAGCTGCGGAAACAAGGCGTCAGTCCTTTAATCGTGTGCAAATTTCTGCCCGGGTTCGATTCCCGCGGCCGGTAGACCGTAGATTAGCTATGCTTGTACGGAGGATTGGCACCCTCTGTGCAGGTATGGTAGGGTGGAAGAATGTTGGCTTGGGTCAATGTGAGAGATTGACATCGGTTGGCATTTGACCACCCCCCTAATTAATGAGGTTTTCCAGGTTTCCCTCATTCCTGCACTGAATGGTGGTTAGGGCCTACCAACATAAGTCGTTCCTGGGCGCAAATGCGGCCTACTCAATAATAATATGCCGCCTCCTCTCCCGCACAAGTCTCCGACTTCTGGGCTAATTCTCGTAATCAGAATGAGGAGTAGAGATATTATTATTATTATTATTATTATTATTATTATTATAATCAAGAAAAAACTAGATATCATTTTAATTTATGGAGAGTGCCGAAAGAACGCTAAAGCTGCCAGGTATTTATACCAACGTCGTTTTCCGCAGAGACAACTTCCATCAGCTAAAATTTTCGGGAAGTTAGCCAGGAATTTGGCGGCAGATGAAAGTTTTCAAAAGAAAAGAGGAGTTTATAAACTTAGAAGGGTAAGAGATGAAGAACGTTCGATAAAGATGTTAAATGGCCTGTGAGATCTCCGGATATCACTCCTATAGATTTCTTTCTTTAGCCATACCTAAAAGAAAAAGTTTACTCTTCGCGTTTAAATGATATTAACGACCTTAAAAACAGAATAATAGTAGAATGTCAGAGATTAAATGAAGAAACGCTAGAATGTATTTGCAGAGAGGGAGTGATAAACAGAGCATTCTGTGTTTTGAAGCAAATGGAGACCATTTTGAACATTTAAAATAAGTATTGTTTTAAATTGTTTTATTATTATCGTATTAAAAATAAAATTTGTTACTTTAAAAAACATAGTAACTTGTTTCCGCAGGTCGCTATCATTTTTCAGAATAAAGCTACGAAGCTAAAGCTTAATTTTTGCTGTTTTTCTAGCAATATTTCTAATTAAACTATGGACTACCTTATATACCTGAACGCAGAAAAAATATATCTTCCAGAATTGATAAAAAAAAATAAATTGAACAAAAACAGTTGACTATAGCAATTTTGACATATGTTACCATGGAGACGATCTAATAATGTCATTTGATAGAGTTTGAGCGGCGATTTAAAAATATATAGGCGAATACCAAACTGAATCACCCGGTATTCTATTAGCTCTCACATATTTTTACTCTTTATTAAGCTAATTCAATGTTTCTGTGAATGACTGCATTATTTGAGATGCGAGACATTTATTTCCTATATTTGAATAATATTCTGGAAAATTTCACCTTAAAATTTAAAACTTTCCGTGTTCTCTCAACAGGACGTAGGCAAACTAGAATCCGCCACTGTTCCCGACAATACAAACAATGTAAATACTAGCTACATTTGCCCTGCCAACGCGTGCCACTTGAACTAGTACTCCACATGTCAAACCGCTCGATATTTTAAATTAAATTAAGCGCTTTTCAGATTACCTACATTGCAGCGACCAAATATGAACCCCTGCTACAAAAAGATTAACACCTTCGGCATGAAAAATATGTTGTCTGTGTTTTATGTAACGCTACTTGGAACGTTTCCAATCCTAGGCTTATAGGTTCAATATTGTGACAATCCATGAATAAATAGTACGGGATGTTCTGCTGTAAGTGCACAAATACTTCTTAAGATGAAGAAATATTTGCAATAAACCTGTAATTGGTTGAAATAAGTTAAATTCTTATAAAAAACGTATATTTATTGAATATCGGACAAAAATGCAGAAGATTTCAAAAGACTTGAAGGGATTTCAAGAGATTTCATAAGATTTCAGAGAGATTATGTCTAGGATTTCTATTTAAAACCTTAAATATCAACTGCAAACTTACTCTGAGACGTCAACCTTGTTTTCGCTTATACAAGAACACCTTGTATCTACTAGTTAATTATTTCGCTACGCACTACTCTGCAAATTCCATTATGTTCCTATTTATCTTAAATTACTCGCAAGCGAATTAATTTGAGGCCAGTATGAATCAATTTCGCAACTACCAGCCAGTTATCTGATCACGGCTTCTAAGCTAATAAATCCTCCTACGGGTCGGACATTAAAAAGGCCGACGAAAGAGAAAATGCTGCATAAATTATAATTAAATCTCAATATTCGTACTCGCGGGACCTCCAGGTATTTAAAACGAAGACAGAAAGATGCCCCTCGCCGACCAGTTGAAAACGCTGCGTTGCCAAGATGCGCCACTAGCACGAAAAAAAGTTAAATAGTTAATTGCACAAATGCATGCGCTAAAACAGTCTGCGCTCTTGCTTGGTCAACAAATAAAACTCTACTTTTGTTTTTATGGGGGAAAATACTGCTTAAACCGAATTACCTAGATCTAGGTAATTTTCCTCTCGATCCGGCAACGCCGCGCGCAGGTATTAATGACTGTGCGAAAACGTTCTCTCGCGGGCCGGCCGAAAAGAGACGGGTAGACTAATGGTCGGCCGTGCTGGAGAGAGACCGACGGGGGGCGTGGTGAGATGGCGCCACCGTGGACCTCTAGACGGAGTACGATCTCGGGAATAATTTGATAGTGGTAAGTTATTGCCGGCCGCGTTGTCGCTCGTAGGGCTGGTTTTGGTTTACGACCGCGTTCAGGAACGTCTTTTTGTAAGCTTGTCTCTCTGTCTGCCGGTAATAGAGTCTGATCTCTCGTGCGCCTTGAATTAAAGCATCAATTACAGTAACGTCAATTGGAAAATTGTTTCTGAATGTTTTGTCACTTAACGTAAAGGGTGTTTTCTGTTTGTATCCCCATTTAAAAATTTTACTTTTCTCAAAACGAGCAAAACGTGACATGAACGAAGTTAATTTTGTTTTGAATAGAATTCATATACGTAGTATCTCGGGTACCACCTTGTATTAGATTTGAATACAAAATAATTCTCATGCCGTTTGGAAGCTGTTAGAATTGATCTAAACCTTGAAAAATGAATGATCAAAGCAATAGACTTCTCTTGTGTCTTTCCATTGCGAAATTTACTTTTATCTGAACGATGCATCGGCTCAAAAAGTGTTGCAAAACAGTCAAGTGGCGGATATGCTTTTTTGACGACTTACGAACTACTAAACTGATCCGAACTATCAATTAATACGTTCACAGTTATGTAAACAAGGCAATCTGCGATTCAAAGTCGCTCCCCGCAAAAAAACCATATCGGAAATGTCTTTCAAAGTCAACGGAGCATAAACCATCTTAGAGATTCATAAGAACCGATCTCATAATGAGCTTGTACAGATCGGGCCCGACAAAGATGATTTTTCGCGCTGCGTTATCGTGCCATTAACGTCATTACAATTTTTTTTAATGTCCTGTCGGCTGTTTACTACATATTTGTGACTTATTAATCGATAGGTTCTTGTTTCAGTTAATTCGAGAATGTAGTAAAAAAGGTTCTACGTACCAGGAAATCTATCGCTTTCTCTTTCAACTGAAAACAAACACAGGTTCAGATCAATCTGTTCAGCAATGGAGGGTCCGAGGAAATAGAAATACTCTTCAATTTATTTCTGCAAATTGCAACAATGGATAGATGACGAAAAATGTTTCTATTTCGACAACACCCTGTATAGATATATTAAATTAACATTTAAACTATTTGTTGTAAAGATTGTTCACTATTACGCCCTTAGAATTATTTTACTCGTTCTAGACTAAGAGCCGGATAGGAAAATTTTCCTAAACATTTTAGGCACCGTAAAAGTCTATGACTTAACCTAAAGAAAACATTTGAACACTATGCCGTCAATTCTCTGCGGCACATGGGTTGTCAGCGGAAATTCATTTCCCTGCTGTGACCTCATGTGCCATAAAAAATGTACGGCATAATGACTTGAGGTATAGTTTTATATAGCGCTTTCAAATTTTTTTAATTTTAGGGTGCCTCTAATAATTTTCCCTATTCTACGTAAAAGGTAAGGGTTGAGCAAGGGTTAAAAGACCTTAGAGCCAGTGCATTCGAACAGCATACTAAAATATAACTTTCAGATAAATATATTTATTTAAAATCAGGCACACCGCACAGTTTTCTATATTTTTACATTAGTGAAAATATTTGGAAAATGAAAATTTTTTATTCTTTCCAGAACCGTTATTTTTGTACGGCATAAGGTTTTTATGTCTTATTTTTCTAATAAATGCCGTCAATTTCTATTTAATTAATTTACTCGGCCCAAAATTGGAAAGTTTGATTTTCCGCTGAACTGATGGCATAGTGATCAAATGTTTTTTTTAGGCTCTAGTATTTAAGTCATAGACTCTTACGGTGCCTAAAATTATTAGAAAAATTTTCCTAACCGGTTCTTAGTCTATTCGTTTTATATAAGTGCATAGCAATATAATATTTAAACGAAAACTTTTGGAGTTCCGCAAGGTACTATCATTCGGCCCCTTTACATATAATTTATGTAAACTTGTACTACTCGTGTTTAGCAGTGATTATTTCAGAAATACTCTGTATAATGAGCGCTTAGGGATCTTTTAGTTTAGTTTCAACAGCGTTACCAAGCAAGGATATGCTTTAAGTTTCATATCCTGTCGAGCTCATCAAATTTATTACGTCCAACGGTGCCTTAACACTCGCTAATTGATAGGATTAAGCTACCCCTTCGCAGTACTTAACGCTAGATTGGCACAAATTAATACTAGACCGTCTTTGTAGTGAAAGTACTATGAGATTTGTTATGCACACTACAAGTATCTTAGGTTTACTGTTAAACATTTTTTTTTGTTCTCTATGGCAAATGGGTAAACCAAATTTTCTGCTGTTGTTCTTTGCTGTACAACGTACTCTTTAAAAACGGCTTCCGGAAGCTTTATATCCAGAATATGCTCACCCCGAAAAAGAAACCCGCTACCGAACATCGCCTAGACCTTTGCAGTTATTTAACATTTAAAACAAAGGGAAGTCTCGTAAAAGAAAGTTAGATTTAGTACCTCCGGTTCCACTAAACCCTAAGTTAAACGAGTGAACAGACGGAATATTTCAAAACCGCGACAGTTTTCATAAGTTTCACTCGACACTTCTAATTAACGGGCTATTAAAGTTATTATATACCCTCAGACTGTCATAAAATACCAACGAACTACCGCGCTTTCGGTCGATAATTCCCAAAAGAGGAACTCACGACATTTGCCACAGGTTTATCCTTCTTTTGTTCCCTTTTTTATAAGTTTGTATGCCTCATACAAGGTGTGTTCGTTTAGACTGATTTGTTCATTTGTTTCGTTTGAGGTACGTTTGTTTAGACTGGTTTCGTGTAGTTATTATTAAAATTAAGTTATTGTGCTTTGAATCTACACCTTAAAAGAAATATGTGTTTTTGCCAGAGGTTTGAATTGTAACTTATATCTAATATTATTTTATATTAATAAAAAATGAATCAACCTACCCTCCCATTTAAAAAAAAGTTGGGGATTGCAGCAACCTCCCACATAATTAAAAAAAATAAACAAATCTCTTTGTAATATGCACCACTGAAAATAAAAATTGGCGTGTTTCAGGAATTTTGCGACAAACCTTTATTTATTAAGTTACAGAATTTGTTCCACTTTCCACTCTGTATTTTTTGGATAGAGTTTAAATGCTTATTTATCTGAAATTGTTTAATGTCGTCTATTTATTAGACAACTTATAAGGAGAATGTTAGCTCATATTTAAAAGATTCGGTTAGTTTTTACATACATCCATTTTTGACAGCTGTGTTTGTTTGTCCCGTAAGAGGTACGTTCGTTTGGACTGCTCCAGATAGCTGCGTTCGTTTATCCCATTATTAGCGAGACTACGCGCATTAAAGCTACTATAACAAAGTTGTAACAAAGGAATCCAGTCTGGAAGTCTTCGGCCGAATCAAAGGAGTCGATAAGCCGGTTACTTCATCTAATTACGAACTGATTGGCATAAATACGCTGGTGAGAAACAACAAACAATCGGCCAGATAAGGGACGCGACACATTATCAGGCTGTTTGTTAATTTTAATTTTGATTAATTGTTATATTTTCAAAGCGCGAGCTGATAACTTTGTGCTGTTTGCTCACCACCGAAATAAACAATAATAATTATGTGTAATTATAATGGGGCAATAAAGATTTCTTTATTCTAATTATAAGCTGTCGGATCGTTCGGGGAACCATTTACTAGAACGTCTGCCGGCTGCAAAGGTCGTGCTTCTAATCAGTCGTCGTGAGAACGACAGGCGGTGCTTATTGCTCTATTTGTTGTAAATAATGTCCTCTACTCGTTAAATTTTTATGTTTCCGGTGTGGTTCGGATAAATTTTATCAGCGGTCACTTCTATTTAGGTCAAATATTGATCCGATAACCGAAAAGAGCGAAAATATTTGTTAGTCTAAGGTGGCTGCGGATAAATGTCAGATGTTTCGAACGTCACATTTAATTACAGCGAAACTGAAAGCTAGTTATTATTAATGTCTGGTATAATGAATGATGAAAGTGTTGTCGACCTTCGTTGAAATACGCTTATACATATATTCTCTTATCGTAGCAGGCTGGGCTCTCCTGATGAGAGCCAGGAACTCCGAAATATGAAAAATTCTAGTATTCTACCTGTTTAAGCGTCCGACGACCCGCCCCAAACGCGAGCGTTTATCGGATGGTATCAATGTACAAAATAATATACCACAATCCGAATTACCATTTAACAAATCGAATGCTCAATCGGATGTTTATTTTAAACCACCGCCACACGCAAATAAGAGCGACTCTCTCCGTCATCCCCCTGGAATTTGAACGTGCGCGAGTGAGACGGAGTGTGGAAACATCGCCGGTAATGTCCGTGTGGCTTGGTCTCTTTTTATTACACAGAGCCATGTTTTGTAAATGAATCATTAACTAGTTTACGGATAAATTGCTGTTTTAGTCGTTCGGCGTTCATTGAGGAAATCGGACTATGAAATTCGTTGTATTATGTGCAAATAAGTACGTTTTTCGATTGTTTATATTTTGTTACCATACGAGGATGTGAGAGAAACAATTTGTTCCACAAACTTTAATATGCCGCAGGTCTATTTCTGGTTAATAGTACACATTGTAATAAGGAGGTAACAATTATCCTCTGTAGTAAGTTATGTGGGGACTAAAGTGTATTTTTTAATCTCGAATAATTAAAAAGGCATTTTAGCCTTGTGCTATAAGTCTATTTGTTACAATATACATGTTAGAAGGCGGAATTTATTGATAGTATAACATGCATCTTGTAATATTAAAGGATTAAAAAGAACTAGTCCTGTATTTTTCCAATCCATCACTAAAACGTTGTTTTACATCCCGAAAAGATCATATATTACTTTTAACCATAATATAGTGTACTATAAATCACGAGACTAAAGTGTAGCTTTAGACATTAAAAATAGTAACATATATAGCTCAACAAACTAAAGTATATTTATGAACATTAAAATACACTTTAGCTCCCTGGTCTAAATCGTTTAAAAATATACTGATATGGATAGTTGGAAGCTAAAACTCCTGCATTTCTTTTGTTTTAAGTTGTTATTTGACAGTTGTGGCGTTGTTTGTGTAGTTATGCAAGAATTAGGAGAAAAATTTGACACAACACACTTTAGTTTTGTGGACTGAAATATCCAAGATTAAAATTATTTGGTACATTGATTTGATATATGTCATAAATATCAGTTAGTTGCCAGTCTGTAACTTGAAAGTAACACTCTACTCTTTGGCTGTAGAAACTAAAATAACACTTTAGCTTGCAGACGTTTATCTAGTAGTGGGAGTGGAATATGGTTTTATTAGACAAAGCTCTATCGTTTTTATAAAAGAAGCTATAACACCTGCGTTTGTTCTGAAATTATATTTTTAATTCAGGAGTATAAAACACTAAAATATATATGGGGAACTATACTGCGCATTTTAACCCTAAAATACACTTTAGTTCCGTGGTCTGAAACGGACTAAAATTGAAATTGTTTGCCACATTGATAAAAATTATAAACGTCACAGTTTTCTTATTAAATTTCTGTGTTGAAATTAACACTTTAGCCTAAAACACTTTAGTGCACGAGGTGTAAAATTTATGAGAGTTGTAGGGACTGGAAAATGATTTTATTGAACAACGCATTGTTAATTTTTCAAAGCTAAAACTCTCGTTTCTTTTGTTGCTCAGTTATTAGTTTGAAAGTTGCGGCGTTATTAGTAATGTAGGAGTTAAAAAAAAAACAATTGACCTTAAAAGGCACTATAGTTCTATGGTTTGACATGACTAATATTGAAATTATTTGGTACATTAGTGTTTTATATTCTTTAGAAATGTCGCAATCAGTAATTTTTGTATTAACAGTAACACTTTAGTTTTTGCCTGCAGAAACTAAAATAACATTTTAGTTCGCGGTGCGTGAGAGACATTTATACGAATAGTAGGCAGTGGAAAATGATTTTATCGGACAAAATATTG